AGAAGGCAGAAGGAGAAGGCCTGGTGGGTCAGAGCAGTCCAGTCCGAGACCCAGCCCCTGTGTGCCCTCGGCTGGTGTGCTGACTGATGGGGGGCAGAGGCTTGGAGCTTGCCAGTCCAACCCCACCCTCCTGCAGTCCAAGCAACAGCAAAGGCTCAGCGGGCCCCAATGCTGTGAACTCCGCGGGCACCATCCCTTCCCTCCCTCAGGGTGTGGACTGAAGCAGTGTCATGTCCGGAGACAGAGGTGGTATCTGGGCACAGGTCGGGAACGTGCACTTCCCTCCAGCACCACAGGGGGGCAGGCAGACTCTGGGAAGACACCAGCAGGCAGGGGTGGGGTGGGGCAGGGTGCCTGTGGGCCTGCCTTAGGGAGGCCCTGAGAGTTAGGCCCCCCACCCTCAAAAAGGCTCATTCCACAGATGAGAAGATGGAGGCACCGTGGCAGTGCCACCTGTCCCAGGGCACTCAGCAAACACGAGGTGGAGCTGGGACTGGGGACCACACAGGTTGGGTGGGGTGGGGGCTTTCTGCTCCCCTGGAGGCATAATGGTTATACATTGCACTGTTAGCTGCAAGGTCAAAGCCACCAGCTCCTCTAAGGGAGAAAGACGAGGCTCATCAACTCAGTCTCAGACCCACAGGGGCCAGCTCTACCTGTCCTGGAGCCGTCAGGCCACGGCGGTGACACCACGTAGTGCGTGTGGCTTATTCTGCAGTCACGTGGGAAAGACACAGGGCACAGGGTAGGGTGCAGTGAGCTGGGAGGCTCCGGGAAGCATGGGGGGTGGGGGGGTAGGTGAACCCCTCAGGGAAACAACAGGGAGAGGTGTGTGACCCTTGTCAGGAAGCTGTTCCCTCCGTGAGCCTCAGTTTCCACGGCCCCACATAGGGGAGTCATGTGAGCCTGCCATTCCTTCAAAACCCACTTCTTGTTCCCCAGGCCTAAGGCTGTGTGGCGGGCCGAGGCCAGGAGGAGGGGTCACCTTGTCCAGCTCTGAGAACTCGATGCGCTCCTCCAGGGTGCAGCTCCGGCCGATGGGGGAGACGTTCAGCATGCCATTCCGGAACTCAATGAAGGTTCCCCTGGTGGGGTCAGGGTGGCAGCCAGAATGAGGACCACCCTGTGTTTGCACCATCCCCCCTTCTGGGACAGGGACCCACCCACCAAGCCAGGGGCTCGCCCCCCCCCCCCCTCTGCCCTCCATGGAAGGGTGGGCCAAGCGGGAGGGCGCTCACCGTTTCTTGGGCAGCCTGAGCAGGGCCATGTAGCTGAGGCAGAAGTTGATTAAGTCCTGCAGCAGCTCCTCCCCCAGGTGGTTCTGGATAGTCTGGGAAGGGACCCAGGTGTGCTCCCTTAGGAACAGAGCTGGGCTGCCTGAACCCTGGGACGCCAAGGCGCCCCTCCCCACCACCGGGGCAGCACAGGTGAGGGGAGCAGCAGACCCCCAGGGCACAGGGGCACCATGTGTGATGTCTTGGGGCCTCAGGGAATTGCTGGGACTCCAAGCTTTGTGGTTTGGGCTGGAGTTTGTGGTGAATTCTAACTGGCCTGTGTTGGTTTTTTCCTGGCTGGGTGGCAGTAGGGGAGAGTTGGGCTGGAAGTTAGGCCATTAAGGCACCTTTTATTCAAATGAGTTAAGAAAAGGGGAATTCAATAGAGCCATCGGTGAAGAGTGGGCTGAGAATGATTAGGATTTTTATGATTTGAGTCTAAGTTGTGGCAGTTTCGTTCAAAGTATTAGTTTGTCATTTGTAAATCAGAAGAACAGGAAGAGACTCAAGAGTAAGCAGACGAGACCAGCAGCCGGGATCACCTACGCTGCGTGAACAGGGTAGGTGGCCTGCTTGGGCTGGGCCCCCCGGCTCCCAGGGGGCACTGACCTGCTTGGAGAGCAGCTGTCCATGCTTATACTGCACCGTCCCATTCTCAGCAAACACGTAGTCAAACTTCTCGATGACTTCAGGGCCCAGGGAGCCAGGGGAGAGGGACAGAGACCGTGAGCTGTCTGACTGGGACCCCCAAGCCAAACACACCCACACAGCAGTCGGGGGTCAATTCTGGAGCTCGGGGACCCCACGTGTGCACAGTAGACCTCCCTCGGGTTCCCTGGCTGTGACCTTTCATAAATGGATTTCCAGGCCTTTCTTCGATGATGCCTCTGGCTGGGGTTAAACTCTCAACCTTTTGGTTAGAAGCCAAGTGCTTAACCATTTGCACCATCCCACCAACAGGGGGGATGGAGCTCATGCTCTGGGGCTTAGCATTCAGAGTCCACTGGCTCCACCCTGAACTACTTTCTGCATCTCCTCTCCCCTCTCCCCCGTAGTTCTATCTGCTCACACCCAAACCAGTCACACCCCCTGGCCTTTTGCTCACCCAGGTCCTTCTACCCCAAAATGCCCTCCTGGGGAGGGACCACAGGTCCCTGCATCCTCCAAGAACTGGCGCCCTCCTCTGGAAGCCTTCCTGGACTTCCCAGCATAAGGTGCCGTTCTCCACTTTGTGCTCCACCGCTACCCTGTCCTGGGGCTTCGGTGGACACTCTGTTCCCACAGTGAGGTTCTCACTGGGCCCGCTGAAGGGGGCTTTGGCTGGAGGGAGCAGGAGGGCGTGCAGGGAACACAGGCAGGCACTCCCATGCACGTGGACTGTGTGGGGTGCTGGAAAGGAGACAGGACTTGTTTTGGAGATGAGCTTGGGTAGTGTCAGCTTTGTTCCCTGCTGCTTCTCCAGAGCCTAGCATGGAGCCAGACTCCTAGTAGGTGCTCAGTGTTGTTGAATGAGAGAGGCTGAGCCCTGTCCCCCACTCCCTCTGACCCACAGAAGCAGGGCTGCTCCAGGGATCCCCCCAATCCCCCAGTGGCTCCCACACCCCATGCCCCCGGCTGCTGTTCTGTCCGGCCCCTTCCTACCTTCATCCCCTTCACCCAGCTGCTCAGCGATCTTGGAGTAGTCAGAGCCGCCCACCACACCGATCTGCACTCGGCTCCGCAGCTTCTGCAGGAAGGTGGCCACCTCCGGGTCGATTTTCTTGGGGGGTGGGGGAGGCACAAGATCCCACATCAGCATGTCTCTGACCTCTACTTGGTCCTCTGAACCCAGGGATCCCGTTCCTCCGGCCTCAGTCAATGCATGGCCTGGAGCCCAGACCCCTGGATTCAAAAATGGGCTCAAGTCCCTGACTAGATGACCTGGAACAAATGGCTTAGCCTTTCTGGGCCCGTTTTCTCATCTGTAAAATGGGTGTCACAATAGAAACCACTTGGAAGAGGGGGTCAGGATTTAATGAGATGAGGATCCAGAGAGCTCAGAAATGAATAAGCAATTAACCAGGGAGTAAGCCAAAACACCACAGGCTCTGGACAAATGAACCAGCGAACTAAGGAAGCCCAAAGAAATTCTTTGAATTATGATGCTGGCAAAGAACATTGACACCTGTTTTGCCATCAGGGCATAGCATAAGTCACTCCACAAGAGAAGGACTGGGGTTTCTACTGTGGTGGTAAAGAGTTCTGGTCTCGGGAACTCGACAGGGGCAGATCTACCCTGCCCTCTGGTCACTACGAGTCAGCATCCACTCAAAGGCCCTGAGTTGGTTGGTTGCTCTTGGAAGAAGTACAGCCAGAATACTGCTCAGAAGTGGGATGACAAGACTTCCTCTCGGGTACTTTGAAGGTGTTAGCAGAGGCATCAGTCCCTAGAGGAGGACGTCGTGCTTTGTAAGGTTGAGAGGAAGGACCCCAAGGCGATGGGTTAACACAGCAGCTGCAGCAACGGGCTCACCCGTAGCCAGGATTTGAGGAAGGTGCAGGCCAGGCCAGGCCAGTGTCTTGTTGTTGGACTCAGGGTGGCGATGAGTCAGAACTGCCTGCCTGCCACCCAATGACACAATAACAAAAGCCAAACACCGGTCACACCTGTCGTGTCAAAGCAGAGCTGTGTGCCATGGTGTTCTCAGTGGTTGACGTTCAGGAAGTAGACTGCCAGGCCTTTATGCTGAAGCACCTCTGGATAAACTTGAACCCCCGCAAAAGAGTTAGCACCACCCTGCAGGTAGGAAGGAATCTGCTGTTACTACCGCCCCTGTTTAGACATTCAAGGGAGCAAGACATTAAGATGACAGTCTCGTGGGCATGCAAGGATGGGGACCGCAGGACCTCTTGGAGGCCGCTGAAGGTAGTTGGGCAAGAGTGACTAAAGTGGAAATGGACAAATGGATTCCTCGCATGGGAATTCTCTTGCCCAGGTGTCTGTGGAAGTTCACAGGAGGTATGGTTTATCAGGAGCTAACACCTACAACCAATTTAAATGCTGTCAATTGGTGTTCTGCCTCCTGCCAGCATGCCCCCCACCCAAAAAAAAGTGGGGATACTACCTCTTTATCCCTGAGCATGTAACCTCATTTGAAGGTAATCTCATTTTGGGAAAAACATTGGCTGGTCTTTGTTGTGTTAATGAGGCCATCTCAGTACAGGGCTTGTCTCAAACCCAAGGACTTTTGAGATATAAAAAGAACAGATGTCACAGAGAGAAGGGAGTGCAAATGGGGCTGGGTGAATGGGTGGGGATGCCCCAGAGGCGTGCCAAAGAAGTGCAGAAAGTCAGGACTAGCAGAGCTGTGATCAAGATTCTGTCCAGAGTAAACAGAGGACACCTTCCCCTGGAGCCTCCATCTATGGGAATCAATTCTCTCCTTATTGCCAGTTTCCAAAGCACTCAAAAACTAGGAAGGTGGAAATGACCCAGGGGTGCAGTGGAATAAGCATTAGGCTGCAAGGTCTGAAGTTCAAATCCACCAGCCACTCAGTGGGAGAAAATGAGGCTGCCTGCTCCTGCAAAAGATGTCACTTTTGAAGCCCTAAGGAGTTCTACTCTGTAGGGCTGCTGTGATCAGAACCAACCTGATGACCACGAATTGAGTTTTGTTGGCTTGTGAGGATTACAACAAAAAGGCCCAGTGGTGCAGCCCCTGGCTGCTTAAAGGTTGGGGGTCTACCCCCACCAGCCACTCTGCAGGGAAAAAAAATCCCTGAAGATCGATGCCCTTAAAGACTTCATAGCCTAGCAGACACTCTGGGGAAGTTCAACCCTGTGAGACCAATGCGTCAGAAGGGGTTAGAAGGCAGGCACCACCACCACCGCCCTTCCAACATGGAAGAGTCCAAAACACACTGAATTGTCAAAAGTTGGAGGATATATATATATATATATATATATATATATATGAAACAAAGACTTCTCCCAAGTTGTCGCCCCCAAATATATGTCAAACAGCTGCTTGGGAATGACTACACACTTGGAGGTGATCAGGAGTAGCCATCTAGAGCAAGCAGACACCACTGTTTATCCCACAACAGGTAGGCCCACTCCCTTCTGATAAGGATAGTAGTTGTCTGTTTCCTTGTAGGAGACACCAGAGGTCAAACCCGCCCAAGGATGACCAAGGTTAGACTGCCGTTATGAATCTAGGGTCCGCCCATCTTGTCACATGTATACACCCCTAGCCCTGCCCATTCCTATGGGCACACCCCTAGCTTATCCCCTTCCTGTCACGCTTATGCCTATCATACATCCCCTTCCTACAATGTGTATGCCTATTGTACTGCCCCTTCCTGTGACGTGTGGTTACCTGTAATCATGTCCCCCTAATAAGATATAACCGTGAGTTAGCAATACAGTGGGGGCTCTCCTGCTCTTGTGGCCTGGCTCCCCCGACGACGACCAAGCGGGTCTGAGGTGAGCAGGCTACCATGAATTGTCTGACTCCATTATTCCGATCTCTCCTCTACCCCTCATACTCTACGACTTTACTTATTATCGCTGTGCAATTGCACCTACCGGACCTGTGATGATTTGTTGGGGACTCTCCTTGCCCCACACATATACAGCATAATACGACTCATTAAAGTAAAAGATGGTGAGCGGTCTTTAAGTTATTATTACAGCCATTGGTCTCATCTCTCCTTGTCCAGAGCATAGATAGAAGAAACCAAAGCCCCCAGGAAAGGACTTGTCCAAAGGGCCAATGGAGCACAATGAACCTGTCTTTACTACCCTGAGAGCAGCAGAACCACCGACCCAGAGCTTGCACTGGGATGACAGTAGAACGGAGCCAGAGAGAAAAGACAAGGGCGGAGCAAAATCCAAATTCATAAAAAGACCAGACTTGGTTTAAAGTCTTGTCTGAAAACAAGCACACAACTAAGTGAGGTATCAGCTAATTCCAAGCAGAAGCACATCAGCCTGTGTGATCCAAGGATTGTAGACAATAAAATACAAATATGGAGGAGGGAACAGTATTAGAGCACCCAGTTTTCCAGAAGGCTAGGGATGACAGTGAGACCAAAATCCACTTGTAACGTCTCCACGTGGAGTAAGCCCCTGGTAAATTAATGCAAATATAGTTTAAATTAAAATGATAATGTTGGAAATTCACTGCCATGCAGTCAATGCTGACTCATAGCGACCCCTGTGGGTTTCCAAGACATAGCCACTATACCACCAGGGCTCCCATGAGCCACTAGCATTGTTTATCCAAGCCTTTTAGACTAGCTAAGGGCCCTCTGGACTCCTTTTCCAAAGTATCCCATTCAATAAACCTTTTCTGTTCAACCCTTTAAAAAATGATTATGTTAATACCTTATCATTGTACTCCCTTTTAAAATTATTTTAATTGGCGTAAAATTCATATATCATACAATTCAATAGTTCAGTCATATGAACTACATTTGTCCTCCCCTTTGACCCATTTAAAATGTGTTCTCCTTTATAATATTTTCTGCTTTCTTTTCCACTGAGGTTTTTCTATTTTGTTGGTGGTGGTATTTTTTCGATATGAAGTCACAGGCCAGGAAAATCTATGGAGGCAGTACCTGGATTAATACTTTCTTAAGGTTATAGCAGGAGAGACTGGGGGGAAAAGAGGAGCTAATAACAATGAGTACAAGAAAAGAAAGGTGCTAAAATTGATGGTAATGATGGGTGCACAACTCTTAAATATAATTAAACTGTTGAATTGTACACTGTGCACAACTGATCATATTAAAAAAAGAAAAGTAAAAGTCAATAAAGCTGATTACCCTGTAAAAACAAAAACACAACCATACTTAGTGGTCTGATCAGAGTCTGGTGAAACCTCGGAGATGCCCTTCTCCCTTAGAAAGCACCTCCTCCTTCCCAGAGGCCAAGTAAATGAGGCCTATAAAGTAAACACTATCAGATCAGCTATGAAGACCAGAAGGGCAGCAATTTCCCCAAAGCAAAGAAAAGGCAGAAAGGATGGGAAACTGGGTAAATAGATATCAAGCCTGGGGGGATGGGGAGAAGGCTGACCTTTGTAGAGATGCAATCAAGGTAACAGAACAAGTGGGACAGATATTGCTCCAACTCTCATTGAAACCACAATATTCAAAGTAGTAAGGAAAGAAATGAATGAAAGAATCAGAAAAGGCCAAGAAATGGTATCCCAAACAGCGCTGAATATTCTCTCTGGGGCCAAGAGATCCAGGTGAAGGTCTGGAGGGTTGGAGCCACGTCACACCATGCCCTGGGCTGAGGAGGGGGCCCCCGCCTGGGCCTGTGGCAGGGACTTTAACCTGTTTTGTTTTCTTTCTTTACCTGGAGAATGTACTTGTGAGTAAGTGCATAATTAAAATTTAACTTTTAAAAGCCCTGGGCGCAGGGCTGATCTGTGGATTGTTGTGACTGGAGTGAAGGGCAAGGCAGGGAGAGGCAGAAAGTGGGCTTGCTCTGCCGCCCTCACTCAATCCACCCCTGTCTGGGTCTTCTTGGTCCCTGGGGGCTGGGGGCCCAGGCCAATTTGACTTCTCCAGGAGTCCCCTGGCCATCCCGGAGGTTGGGGTGGGGTGTGGCCCTTAGGCCAAGTAACCCAGTATCCCCAGCTCTGGCCCCTGGAGCACTCTGTGGGTCTGTGGCTGAATATTGGCTACAGCAGGGCAGACATGAGATGCCTGCAGGGGAGCGTGGGTGTGGGTCCCGTCTAAGGTGGGCCCAAAAGGAAGGAGGCTGGGCCTTGGAGAGCAGGAGTTGGGAGTTCACCCGGAACACGGACCCCCCACCGTTGTGTCTGACCTCTGGGTCCTCTCAGACCAGCCTCAGCCAGGCCCTCTCCTGTCCAGTGGGCGGAGGCCACGACCTCACTCCGGATCTCCAGGAGACATGGTCACACAGGACTGGGTGCGGAGGGGCCTGGGGAAGCCAGTCCCAGGCACAGCCCTGCAAGACTCTAGGTAGGAGAGCACCAAGACCCCCTGCCCTCCCACCAGATGGCTATTCTGATGTTTGTTTAAGTGGGAGCCCAGCCCTTCTTGGAACCCAGGGTCCCGATGCAGCTCTGGGCTGATGGTGTGTCCAAGGGCTGTAACGGCGTGGTAACCACCGCGGGGCAGGCAGGAAGGAGGGTTCCGGGTCAGGCCCCAGCCTCTGGGAGCAAGGGGAGCCGGGGCCCCGATCGCAGCCGCCTACAGAACCGGATCTAGCCCACTTGCCTCAGGCAGAACGTGGGAATAGACGCGCAGGGGGCGGTGGCGTGGGGGACTGGGTCCCCATCATTCGCGGCGGGCGGCCGTGGAGTGTCAAGGCCTGGGTACCGCTGCATCCCACCTTCCCGGGCTGGCCGGGGCTCACGCCGCAGCAGCGCCCACTTTGGGGCTGGAAGTGTCCGCGTGCCACTCCCGAGGGCGCTTGCCAGTGTCGGGATCCTACCTGACGAGCCGGCGTGAGCGTTCCGTCCACGTCAAACAGGCAAAGGACGCGCTCCTTCTTGCGGGCGCCCTCCGTGGTGACCGCCATGGCTGCAGCTTTGCGCGTCTGGGGCGAAGTCGTAGGCTGCCGCCACCGGAGCCCGGAGAAAAGGCAGAAAGGCGGGGCGGGGCTGAGGGTGGGGCCCTCCAGAGCAGGGTCTGAAGGCTGGGCCTGATTGGACGAATCGACCCAAGGGCGTGTCCAGGGCGTGAGCTCGGCTGCCAGAGGGACCCGGACCGGGCAGGGGCGGGTTTGAAACAATTGACAAACATGGCTCTGATTGGACCTGGCCGAGATGGGCGTGTCCTAGGGCGTGGCAGATCCCGGTAGGTATGGTTTGATTGGCCCACAACTGATTGGGCGGGGTCTGGACTTGTGCTTGGCGGGAAGGGAGGGACCAAACTCGGAAAATAGGGGTCGGGCCACAATTGGGCGGCCGGGTTGTCTTGATGGGACCCGACCTAAGGGCCTGGACTGAGCCCGCCCCTCAAACCCGCAGTGCAGGGCCGGATGGGGCGGGGGCGGGACTCAGAGATCTTGGACGGCAGGCCCTGGATTCTCCTTGTCTGTCATCGATCCCTCCATGATTCCGTCCCCTCCCATTAAACCCTCTGCTCTGTGAGCTACAGTCCCCAGTCCATGTTCAACACCTCTTGATGCTCACAACTGTTGCTATGTTGGAGCCCATTGTTGCAGCCCCTGTGTGAATTAATCTCCCGTAGGGTCTTGTTCTTTCTTGTTTTGATCTCTACCAAACATGGCATCCTTCTCCAGGGACTCGAAACTCCTGCCACTGAGTCAATGCTGACTCATAGCGACCCCCTCCCCACCCCTCCCGTTGGGTTTCTGAGACTGTAACTGTTTACAGGAGTGGAAAGCCCAGTCTTTCTCCGCCGGGCTGCTGGTGGCCGACCAGGCAATCCGTGTGACCCCATCTCGACATCCTGGCTTCTAAGGAGCGTGGCGGCAGTACCTCTTCCAAAACATATTTGCTTATCCTTCTGGTCGTCCGTTGTATATTGAACAGTCTTCTCCAACACGGTATTTCAAACGCACAAATCCTTCAGGGGTCATGTTTCCGTTGTGCAGCTTATATAAAGCGACTGAGAATATAGTCACTTGGATCTGGTGCGCCTTAGTCGGCTTTGCTTTTTGCCACTTTAAAGAAAACCATTACAGCACATTTGTCCAATGCAATTGTTCTGGTTCGGTGCCATCGAGCCAGATCTGACCCACAGCGACCCTCTGCACAACAGAAGGAAACACTGCCGGCGGCACCATCCTCACCACCGTCCCTGCGCTGATCAAGTAGCTCATGGTTGCAGCCCCTGTGTCCGTCCATCTCACCGCGGCCTGCCTCTTTCCCTAATAAGTCTCCTCTGATTTCGGGAAGCGCAGTGGTTTCATCTGCTTACTGCAGGTTGCTAATGACTCTCTAATTCTGATGCTGTGTTCTTCCCATAGTCCAGGGTTTGGCATCACTGGCTGAGCATACAGACTGAATAGGTATGGTGAAAGTGTGGAACCCTGACACACACCTTTGCACACCTTTCCTGATCTTAAGCCACATAGAGTCCCATTGGTATGTTTAAATGCCTTTGGACACGTTTCACATGAGCACATCTAAATGTTCTGGAATTCTTCTATTTGTTATCTCTGGTTTTTATGATCCTACCGTCAAATGTCTTTGCATAATCAATAAAATCCAGGTAAACATCTCTCTGGTATTCTCTGCTTTCAGCCAAGATCCATCCAACATCAGCAATGAGATCCCTCATTCTATGTTTTCTTCTGATTTTTTCTTGAATTTCCTGTGGTGCCCTGCTGCAACCATTCTTTGAATATCTTCAGCAAAATGTTCCTTGTTGTGATATTAATGATGTTGTTCGATAATTTCTGCACTCTGTTGGAATGGGCACAGATAAGGATTTATTCCCGTGGGTTGATCAAGTAGCTGTCTTCAAAATTTCTTGGGAAAGACAAGTGAGCACACTGAGCCTTATAATCATTTGTTGAAACATTTCAATTGGTATTTTGTCTACTCCTGGAGCCTTATTTTTTTGCTAATGCCTTTATTGCAGCTTGGACTTCGTTCAAAACTATATGCTACTTCTTAAATATTGAATGTTGATAAATTCTTTCTCTAGTTTGCTGAAAGAGAAAGATTTATTGTTTCCAGGTGAAAGCAATTATTTTGGGTACAATGACCCCATATATTCCCTCCTTTGTTGCTTATGGCATCCTTCACATTGCGCCCATGATGTTGTGCCATCCAGTTAGTTCGGACCCACAGCGGTGCTACGCGCAACAAAACGAAACTCTGGGGGGGGCGGGGGGGACTGGGAACCAGGAAGAGAGTGTATGTGGACACACTCTCGAGGAGTCTGCGAGGCCGGGACTTCCGGTGGAGGAGACCTTCCGGTTCAGACGTTGGAGATGCATTCCAGTCACAGTCTCCTAGCTAAAAGTCATTCCCCACGATGTCCTCATAATAAGGTCAATCTTAAAGTGCTTGCAGGCACAATGCTACTGCTTATCTATGCTAAGAAGGTTAGCTGCTTGAAGGCTATCTGCCATGAGAAGCACTCAGATCCTATTGACTGTCCCACCCTAAGTAGGACCTACCAGTACTCCCTTCTGATAAGGATCATAGATTATTCCCCGGGAGAAGAGTTCAAAGACACCTAAGATCTAGTCAGCTTGGAGATGACCAAGGTTAGGCTGCCATCTTGACTCTAGAATCCTATGGATGTCTTTCTCAGGTACTGGTCTCTCTGGACATGTTCAAAGAATGTGAGACAGGCTTGCCATCCTTCTAAAGAGAACTCTAGTCGTACATCATCCAAGATAGATTGGTTTGCCCTTTTAGCAGTCCATGGTACTTTCAATATTCTTTTCAAGTGCCGCAATTCACATGCACTTATTCTTCTTCAGGTTTCCTGATTCAATATCCAACTTTCACATGGATATGAAGCAAAGGAAAATGCCATTGCTTGGGTCAGGCCTACCTCAGTCCTCCAAGTAACATCTTTATTCTTCAATCCTTTAAAGAGGTCTTGAGCAGCAGATTTTCTTAATGCAATATATCTTTTGATCTCTTGACTGTTGCTTCCATGAGCATTGATTGTGGACCCAAACCAGTCAAAATCCTTGACAACTTCAACCTTTTCTCCATGTATCATGAGGTTACCTACTGGTCCAGTGGTGAGGATTTTGGACTTCCTGACATTGAGTTGGAACCTATACTATTGGTTGCAACCCTTGATCTTCACCAGCAGGTGCTTCAAGTCTTCTTCACTTTCAGCAAGCAAGGTCACATCATTTGCATATCGCAGGTGGTTCATAAGCCTTCCTCCAAGCCTAATGCCACACTCTTCTTCGCAGAATCCAGCTTCTCTGATGATTTTCTCGGCACACAGACTGACTAAGTATGGTGAGAGGATACAAGCCTGATGCACACCTTTTGTAATTTTAAAATACTCCGTATCCCTCGTTCTGGTCGCATAACTGCCTCTTGACACATGTCCGAATTCCGCATGAGCACAGGGAAGTAGTCGGACATTTCCATTCTTCTCAGGGCTAGTCAGCTTCTCATGATCCACACCGTTGAATATCTTGGCGGAGTAAAAAAGCACACAAGTACACATCTTGCTGGTATTCTCTGCTTTCAGGGAAGATCCATCTGACACCAGCAACCATATCCTTTGCTCCACGTCCTCTTTGAAATCAGCCGGAGCTTCTGGCAGTTCCCTGTTAATATCCTGCTGCACCTGTTTGTGGAAGATCTTCAGTGAGATTTTTCTTGCATGTGATGTTGTTCTATAATTTGTGCATTCTATTGCGTCACCTTTATTTTGATGGATACAGATACATCTCTCCCAATCAGTTGGCCGAGTAAGCATCTTCCAAATTTCCTGGCATAGAAGAATAAATGCTTCATCAACTTGTTGAACCATTCAATTCACATTCCATTGATTCCTAGAGCCTTATTTTTTGGCTAATGCTTTCAGTGCAGCTTGAACTTCTCCCTTCAACACCACTACTTTTTGCTCATATGCCTCCTGAAATGGTAGGATGTTGACTTTTTTTTTTAATCTCTGTGTGTAAATCTTCTCTAAATGCTCCCTGCATGCATCCTTCAATATTTTTCCCATTAGAATCTTTTAGTCTTGCAACTCGGGGCTTGGAAGTTTTTCGAGCATTCTTTCAGTTTAAGATATGATGAGCATGTTCTTCCTTTTGGTTTTTCTAACTCAAGACTTTGCATATGTCATTATAGTACTTAACTTAGTCTTCTCAATCTGCCCTCTGAAGTATTTTATTCGGCTCTTTGACTTCATCATTTATTTCATTTGCTTTAGCTACTCTTCAATTAAGAGCAAGTCTCAGAGTCTCTTCTGACAGTCACTTGGATCTTTTCTTTCTTTTCTGTCTTTTTAATGACCTTTTGCTTTAATATTCTTCTTTTATTTTTTGCTTTGATATTCTTGGTGTCCTCCCACAGCTCATCAGGTCTTCTGTCATTAGTGTTCGAGGCAGCAGATCTGTTTTTGAGATGTTGTTCTAGAGAGTCAGCTGGGATAGACTCAAGGTTGTACTTTGTCTCTGACGGACTTGTTTTCATTTTCTTCAGCTTTAACCTGAACTTGCATCTGAGCAATTGGTGGTCTGTTCCACAGGCAGTCCGAGGCCTACTTCAGCTGCTGATATAGAGCTTCTCCATCACCTCTTTCCACAGTTGGAATCGATCCTATTTCTGTGTGTTCCATCTCAAGAAGTCCGAGTGGTGTTGAAAGATGGTATGTGCTGTGAACAAGTCTTGGGTTTGCAAAGTTCTGTCATGTGATCTCCAGCTTCCTTTCTCTCACCGACTCCCTTTGTCCCTGGAATCCGTCAATATTGGAACTTGAACTTGAATGTCTCCTTCAGTTCTTTCAGCTTGAGAAATGTCAACATTGTATTCCCTTTCCATTTGGGGTGGGTTTTTTGGGGGGGTGATAAAGGGCATCCTTGGTCTAGTTCTCATTCACTAGCCATTAGTTTTGCATCTACGCCCTGAATTATGTTGAGGAATT